CGACACCTTGACAGTTCAGAACGTCAACTGATGAAGTAGCGTTGAGAGTTCAGAACGTCAACGGCAAAACCGTTTCCGTTCTCGTTTAAAATTTTGCCAAACCAACGTGAACGGCTACAGCCCTAATCTTGAGTGACAGATTCAAGAATCCAAGATCTTGAAACATCTGGCTTACTCCACTCAAGATCTTGAAATTTCTTAACCCAAGATCTTGGATGAAGTAAGCCAGGATGTTTAAAGATCTTGGGTGAAAGATTCAAGAATCCAGGATCTTGTGGCATTTCTTATCCCAAGATCGTCAGTACAAGAAGTTTCACCAGGGTATATTTCGAAACTATTTTGTGGATTTTCTATCTTTGACCACTTACTGCGTGACAAGGCTAGATGTGGAGATGAAGCAAATCGCGAAGTAGTGGACAGAATTACGAAGCATTTGATTAAGAAATAGTCCACTAAGTAAGTCGTGCAATGTAATGGTATTGTTTTTCCTGATATCGTTCTAGCTGCATTATATTGCAGACATCTGTCTACGGTCAGTCTGCTGATCATTATGATTCAACGTCAGAGGACCGAGTGAATCAAAGATGCGCGTTACTTGTTCTTTTCGTTTCTTTCTATTCTTCATTACCATAAAGATAGTGAGGCGAAAACAAGAAATATGCCGAAGACTTCTTCGAAGTTGAAACGTCATGAAATAAATCAAGAAAACGGAAAGAAACGATTTCATTCAGCTAACTTCAAAATGACCTTCCTTAAACGCAATCAAATTTTTTTTTGATAGTTATATAGAATATTCTGAGGTTATACATATGAAATGCCTCAATACCTGAGAATAGGATCTTTGACAGAGGTGTGTAAACTAACACCTTCAGTTAAGGATAATTGAATCGAACTTGCATGTTATCTGCATATAAAAGTTTTCAATTTTAATCAGCAGATTCATTTTAGAGAATAGTTGTAGTCCCAAAACTACATGAAATTATCCCTCTTCTTTCTCAGTAAGATCTGCGTTTCTACATGTAACAGAGAGATTTTACAGAAAAAAATCGATTTAGTAACTTAGTGACTCGATGGGCTTTTGAGCTGTTCTTCGTTCAGATTTTATAAAATACTGTCATGTATTTTATAGTACTTGGCTGTGTATCCTTTGTATGTGGCTATTTGCAACAAGTCTGTTTTACTTTGTCATCGGAGAGACAGACAGCTCGAATACGTAAAAAGCTCTTTCGATCTATACTGGATAAAGTTTGTATGACTACTGTAATGTTTTGTACTCACATAACAATTATTTGAGTTTAGAATATTGAATATTTTGATGTAAACAAAGTGGGTGAATTAAATACAGTACTATTTGAGTAAGTCTACACTAGTTAACCGATCCACTCTTTTCTTATTTTTCTTCTAAAGTCACATCAATAAAGTAAACGATGGTATTGGTCCAAGATTGGGTTTAATTATTATGAATGTTTCTTTGTTAATAGCGGGTATTGTTGTAGCATTCACAGTTAATTGGAAATTATCTTTAGTAATTTTAACAATTTCACCAATAATATTTATTGCCACCATCATTGGTGCAAAAGTAAATGACGCATCACCGATGACGCCATATATGCATGTCATGGTTTTAGATTGTAAGTCTCTCGATAATGAGAGAATTGGCAGCCTATTCTAAAGCTGATTATGTTGCTCAAGAAGTCTTTGGTGCAGTTCGAACTGTATTTGCCTTTAATGGACAAGAATATGAACAGCAACGGTAAGGGTAGGTGAAAAAACGGGCGTTGATGATTTAGTTCCGCTTCTCCGTTGACTAATATCGGGCTTCAGATATATCAATTGTTTGCCATGCATCCAGCCGCGATGAGTAACTCGACGTCGCCAAACGTGGCAAAGCTGATGAAACTGAGACTTGAGTCATATGTGGCTCACGCTGTTTTCGTTTACATGATATACCAATCACCCGTATCAGTATACTGGGTTACTGGCCAGTTTTTACTGGGTAACTAACGGTTTAGGTGCCAAAGGCTTTGTAATACAAATAGTTTGCAACACAAATGACTATCTGTTTAGACTGACATGTTTCTATGGCTTTACTCGCGCTTTACACAATATGAAGCGTTGAACGGCATTTAATGCGGAATTGTTTGAGTTTTCTACAATAATATAAGATTTTGAAGAAAACCGACCTTTGTGAACAAAGTATTTGATTTGTTTAATGTTATACGTTAAATCCGAAAATTCTGTTAGATTACTCGTGCAGCTTATAGAATATTCTCAGCAAAAGAGAAATAAAGAAACACATGTTTCTTTGAAACAAGCTTAGCTAACGTTTGAAAGAGCCCCATTTGAATACTATAACGCAAAACAAAGAAAACGTGGAAAGATTTAGTTTATTTAGAAAGACATCTTGACTATCTGTTTAAAAAACAGACAAGCGAGGGTGTGAAAAAGCGTTATTGCGTAAAATTCAATATTTGTAATATTCGACGCCGTTCTACGCGTTATATTGTGTAATAGCGCGAGTATAGGTATAGAAACATATCAGTCTACGAAAACTCTCGTTAAATTGTATCATCTTATCTAAGTGCCGAATCATTTGTGTTACAAATTATTTTTATCACAAAGCCTTTGGCACCCAAACTGTTTGGTCACCAAAGCCATCGGGCACCCAGTACATTGGTGCATACCTAGTGCTACGGAAGATGTAAAACGGGTTTCATCCACAATTTAGATTTAGAGTACTTAAGTTAACAACAAAAACACGACCCTTAGCATTTTTAATTGTGGAAGGATGAACAAAGTTAGTATCATTCTTTTTCAGCTATTCAGAACATTTGACGCCGTCAAGCCGATATGTTTTACAAAAGGGAATAGTTAGCGCTCTTACAATTGGTCTTACAGTATTCATATACTATTTCATAATTGGCATTGGATTTTTTTATGGCATAAAAATTGTTCACGAAGATCCACATCAGAATGTTGGAACTATCATAACTGTACGTTTTACTTTGTCTCTTATTAAATTTAGTTGATTATAAATTACTAACATAGGTTCTCCTGGCAATCACAGACGCAGTATTCTTACTTAGCTATACTCTACCCCACTTTCAAATAGTTTCTGAAGCTTGTGGTGCTGTTCAGCGAGTTTTGCAAATTATTGACCATAATACGGTAAATGTTTATTATAATAAAGTAAATGGAAATATTGATAAAACTGTTGTTTAATTTTAACTAGTCAAATGAGCAAAAAAATGAAAAGAGAGATGAAAATCCTGATATAGAAGGAGATATTGAATTTGATAATGTTCATTTTTCTTATCCAGCAAGACAAGACACAAAAATATTAGATGGACTAAGTTTTTCAATTAAAACCGGTGAAACAGTTGCGTTATGTGGTCAGAGTGGTTCTGGTAAGACTTATAGGATCCCTTGTTATAGTTTAATGTTGACTGCCACTAACTGTTTAGGTAAAAGCACCATTATGCATCTTCTACTGAGATTTTATGAACTTGAAACAAGCAATTCGTCATCAGGCTCTATTCGAATTGGTAACCACTTACTGAAAGAGTACAATTTAGAACGGTTAAGAAAACAGATTGGTGTTGTCGGTCAGGAACCGGTACATGGTTTTTATTTCATTTTCTCGCATATATGGTTGGCATTCTTTTTAATCTTGCAGGTTCTGTTCAGTACGACGATTTATGAGAACATTCAATATGGAAAAGAAAATGCAACAAGAGAAGAAATTGAGGATGCAGCTAAACAAGCAAATGCGCACGAATTTATCATGAAACTGCCAGACGTAATATAGTGACGGTCACCATCATTAAAACAGTTCCAATTTCAAAAGATGTCTTGCTAGGAAGAAACCGTGCCAAACTAAGCCTGAGCACAAGATGGCTTGTTCACGTGCCATGAGTGTTTTTTCTCTTTTCCAAAAAAGAGAAGGTCTTAAAGGGTCTTGTCAGGTGGTTTCCGTCGAGAAAGACTGAGTCAAGGTCCGACAAGAGACACAACTTAGTCCATGCCTTGAGAGACCGTGCTATTCTTTGTTCTCATCGAGCAAACAATGGTAACTTTCGCATAATGAGGATGGAGGACAATATCATTAGTCACTGCACATATTCTGCTTCTTGCCACTAAGCATGTCTTTGATATAAGCTTTATTCTTTCAAAAATGATTTATACTTTAACATAGACTGTATCTAGTAACTCTTTTGTTCTTTCAGAAATGAGTTCTGTTTGAGTCTCTTGCAACCGATAAGCGGTTGTAAAATTAAACTAAATTAAAAAATGTTTTGAAGTTTCTATAATGACATACTCGAACAGAGCACAGTTAAATGGCTCATATTCTCATTCGGCTGAAACATTTCGCGTGAACTAATTACAGTGGAAAAGAAGCAGTCTTGAACTGTTGCTATGTTTGTGGCCAATACGGCAGTGCTTTGCTCAAATATTACTTACCGAATTCTTTGTGTACGTTGTTAGAGATATCAAACGCTAGTTGGAGAACGAGGAATACAGTTGTCTGGAGGTGAAAAACAACGAGTTGCCATCGCACGTGCTCTTATTAATCAGCCGAAATTGTTGCTGTTGGATGAAGCGACAAGTGCATTAGATAATGAAAGTGAAAGACTTGTTCAAGATGCGTTACATCGTGCATGCAAAGGTAGTCTGTTCATATCTATAGTATATTGCAATTGTTTCCTTTGCTTTGCTCTAAGGTCGAACAACGATTATAATCGCTCATCGTCTGTCAACAATAAGAAACGTTGACCGAATCTATGTTCTTCACAAAGGGCGAACTATTGAGCAGGGCAATCATGAAACACTGATTGGAAGTCGAGGGTATTATTATTCAATAATTCAGATACAACAGCAACCAGATGTCGATAGCGATGGACAGCAGCAGGAAGAAGAGGAAATGGAAGAGGAAGAAGAAGAATGCGAAGATAACTCCCGAAAAAGTATAGTAATTTTTATGAATTATCGTGAATAAGACGAGCAATTATCTTTTTCTTCCCTATACGAAAAAATGCCCAGTGGATGAAGTAATATTCTGCCACAAAAATGTGCAGCAGTTTTTCAGGAAATCAAATTTTACTAAAACCTAGCTGACTGGAATCGTCCATAGAACTACATGATGCTATCAACTGATAACTTTCGACGAATGATTCGTTTGCCACACGGCAGATGCTAACGAATAACGTCACACAAGCTTTTATAGTCGATCCATTCATGACAAAATACAATTTTGCTCATATCCAGTCTTAAATATCATCAAAAAATGGTTTTGATGCATAAAAAACAAAAACTTCATAAATTTGCAGTGTTTATGACTCTATCCACAGTCATGGACATTTTTTAAAATCGTGTAACAGAGTTTGAAATCGTAACGATGATAAGTAGGTTGAATTAGTCACAGTAAAATAAATTTGGGGCTTCGAGTCTGTTTGAGTTGAAGCAGTCTTTTCAGGTATAACTTGTATTCAAGAGAGCAATTAAGGTTAGCATTTTTCTTATTCTCTCGTTTCTGTTTATGATAATAATTTATCCATCGACTCTTTTTCTATCGTTTTACTGACTAGTGATTCAGATTCTGAGAAAATTACGTCTGTCTAGGATATTGTTTATTTCGGTTTGAAGATGTGATGGCTAAAGATTATAACTTTCTGAGAAACATATTAAAAAGTTTTTTGATTACTCTTTGATAATTCCAAAATTTTCCCGTTGTGGTTCATACTGTACAGAAGAAAAGAAAAACATTTTTAGGTTCAATTCTGATCAAAGGTAAACGCTTTCAGATCAGATTCAGAATAATGAATCATCAGAGTCGAGCCGGACTTCCCTGTTTTGATCTCTGATGTCTGAAGGGACCAAACACTGTTCAGCCTATTTTACTCAGACAGCTTGCTTTTCTCATGAATATTCTCCTAAAAATCTCCCGTCTAGAGAGTATGACAGGGTATAACTGATTGAACAGAGTTCTATTATTATTTTTTGTAGAAAGACTCAGTCAAACATTGAGCGGAGTAAGCGAAGCATCATCAATACTCATAAATCAAGAAATGAACTCTCAACAGGTAAATTCAGCTTTTCTCAGGACTTGAAATGCGAATGTATTGCGATGACTGATTACACAAAGCTTCATTTCTGATGTTTTAGGAAACGTCTTCGCAATCACCATTCTTAGCAATGCTAAAGCTGAATAGTCCAGAGTGGATCTATATTTTGGTCGGTTGTTTGTGCTGTATAATTAATGGTGCAAGAGTCCCAACATTTGCCTTAATGATTAGTGAAATAATCGATGTAAGTTATAATCTAATTTGTTAACATTTGTCACGTGGAAAGAGTGCCAGGTATGCTTCGCTAGTCGCAGGTTTGTCTGTTTCTATTCAATAAGGATGTCGCTTTTCACTTTGTTTCTGCTCCATCTTTATCGAAAATTCAACAAGCAGGTTCTTTTACCACAAAACGTTCAGACTATCGTTCACTCAGTCTTCTTTTATTGTTCTTACTGGAGCCTAAAAGGTGCAATATGTCATCCCTCTACAAAATGAAAAGTGTCTCGGTTTTGAACGTTGATTCGTTATGAAAATACAGCGGTCGTACAAACAGTCCCAAAAATCGATGCGAGAGCTATCCGAAAAACGTTTCTAAAAGGGTGAAGACGAGCAGGCAAAAATTAAACAAGTATACCAGTTTATAGAGTAATTGTTTGCTCTACAAGGTGTGATAGCGTTTTAAGTTCGAAACTATTCTAATTAATCAGTATTAATCAAAGAAAAAATAGAAAAAGCGTGACGCTGTGACAAAAAACAATCAAAAACGTCACAGCGTCATGATCTTTCTTTGGCTAATACAGATTAATTAGAAGAATACTTACTGTGATACTTTTTGTTGTCCCTTAATTAACCTCTTCACAGCTGTATCCTTTATTTGACCTTGCCGATACTTTTATTCTTTTTCACATGAACCGATATAAAAAATCCATCCACTACTCTACTGTACTAACTATATATATCTCTCACTCTATATCTATCTATATCTCGTGATGATGAGAGAGTGAGAGAACAGAACAGACAGAACAGGGTGGGTGGGTTTGTATGAGAGAGAGAGAGAGACAAAGACATATTTATTATGTTTTCAAATTCCTCATGAATACATTCTGTTACAGTATTTATTAGAACATATTTTCTTTTAATATGAAACTTATCTATTCACACATTCATGAGAATAACATTATTATTATTATTTCTTTCCCATAAGAACGTGTTTATAATCGTATTCTATTCTTATTTTCATCATCGTCATTTTACCTCTTCACAAGTTTTAATTTTTAAATCTCATTTTTCAAAAACGTCGATTATTAAAGTAATATTCACGGGCTCTTTGATTGTCACATTAATCGGTCTGTTGGTTCTTACATTTGTTTCGTCCGGTTTTTTGTTTCATGTGGAACCTACACAAACATCGGATAATGGGGCAAAACTGAATAGTATTCAACAGTGTAATTGTATTAATACGGCATTAGATTTGCAGCAGCATCATTTTCAAAATGCACATAAGGTGCATACTTGGAAAGATATTATTTTAATACTAAATGGTCTAGCATTGGGTATACTATTTATAATTAGTTTGTTTTATCTGTATCATAAGGTTCAGATTAATTTCAACGGCAAACAGATTAAACCATCAGAAGCAACGAAAGATGCCTTTCAAGTTAAAAAGGTATCAAAAGATAATATTCATGACGATGATGAATTGTTCATTATGATTAAAAAATATTAACGTGCATTCATAACAGAACGAACAAATTTATCATATTATTCATATATAAGAATAACATTCTCTTTACAGAATAGCATGGAAATAACTCTGTAAAAAGAATAAAATGTTTACATATTCATCTTCCATCATCATTCATTTTTTTCTGTTCTTACCATCGTCTCGTGTTTTTTTCGTATAACTAAAGCTGTATAGATATACACTGTATATTTTGGTTTTTTTCCCCCTTTTTTTGATTGAACTAGTTTAAGAATATTTTTTCATTTTAGATGAATCTTTCTGAAAAAGGCATAAAGCCGAAACGCGTTAAATAAAGTCATCAAAAATTAAAATGATTTCTTTTTTGTTCAATCAATCATTCTCGAGACAACGATATCAATTTTGAGAGTTAAATTTCTCATTTTCTTATTATTAAAGAGAGAGAGAGAGAGAGAGAGAGAGAGAGAGAGAGAGAAGGGGTAAATTCGCCATTTGCACCCATTTTTGTTGGTGATAGAATGGGATGGTGGTCATCCTGTAGATTTGAAATTGAGTAAAGTCTTCCTCTGGTACAGCAAAGTAATTTTCGAATTCTAGCCGACCAAGTTCATTCGGATCTTCTGGTGCGTAGATTGTTGATGGTATAAAATTTATTTTTTGTAGAATCAGTAGACTAGTAATAAGAGAAACGGTTGGTATTGTTTCGGCATAGTCACGAAACGTAATGTTGCCTCTAGTAATAACATCTCGAACAATAGCCGACGCGTCCGACGAATCAATATACGACAAAGTTAATCGATTAGAAGTTATATCATTGATGGCTACATCCAAAAAGGACTGTTGCTGCTTGTCTTCTAATCTTGATAATCGTTGATTGATATATTCGATAGCTGATGAGTGCTCGTTTACGATTTCTGTAGTAGCGTTCAATAGACTTTGTGTATTTTTCAGTTCTATTGCTTGCATGATTTGTCCTTTTTCGTAGACTTCCATTTTAACTTCGCCTTCCCGAATTTTTATTTCTGATTGCGTTAGTCGATTTTCGTTTTCGGCGATTACTTTTTTTAATTGAACTAATTGAACGGTGTTTGCTGCTGAGAGTGCCAGTGCCGCGGTTCCGATGCCGATGCCGATGATTTCTCCGATAAAACGTCGGTGTCGTGTTATACGAATACCTTTCGGATGCTGTTGATTTGTATTTCGCGTTAACGATTTCGAAGATCGAGAACTTAAGTTTTGTTCTCTGGTTTCAAAGAGCGACGCGCATTCCGGTATTCTTTTGGCGGGTGTTGGTGGAATTAGATGACAGGTGGCTTTTCCCATCGGAAATGATACAGAATTCTTTATAATTTTGTTTGACGGTATATATGGACCAATATATTCAAAAAATGTCCCAGTTGCTGCGTGAGATATCGTTGAAGTAGGTAGTCTGAGTGTTTGGATATTGACGATAGCCAACAGTTACCATTATTTTCATATTTATCTTAAGATGCTGTTGAAAATACGTTGTGTTCCTTATGTAATTTCCGCGTATGATTGATATAATGAATGAATCGATACAATGTTAATTCTCGGTTACGTCTGTCTTGTTTTTCTTTTGTAGTTTCTTCCTCTTCTCTACCAATGGTATATTTTTTTCTTTTCTAATTCCTTTCTCTTCTCTACCGATGGTCTGTTTTTTCTTTTGTGTCCACTTCTCTACCGATGGTCTGTTTTGTCTTTTCTAATTTTTCTTTTGTTGATGAATGAAGATCAATAATGAAGGTGTTTTGAGATAGTTCAGATATACCTGTTTCTTTTCTTTTGCTGTGTTGTATGTGAGGATAAAAGCTTTCAATCTTATCCAGTCATCAATGTAGATATTGCCGTGGGATAATTGACTTCAGCGATAAACGTTTAACTTTCGTGATATTGTTCTGCTTTTTTTTCTCAGCCTTTATTTAATTTGATTGATGTGCGAAAGTGATCTTCATCTGTTCTTCATGTGTGCATATGGCTCCCTAATTATAAGTGATCACTATTGTTGTAGGGAGTCTCACACACGTTTTCGTTAATCATTATTATACCGAGTCGTTGGTCTTCTAACTCGACTCGTTCTTCGGAGTAGGGGTTCTGGTGGTATTATGTTCTGTTTCGTAATTACTGGAGTTAACGGCAGTGACATGAGTGATGCGGGTGGTTTTAAATTATCTTCCGCTGTTGAAGTGGTTTTTAATTCGTAATACGGTTTTAAACGATCCGAGTTAACTGTACCTAGAATAACCCCATCTGATAGACGTTGGACTTTAAACGATGAGGGGCTAATTTGTCGAAGAATTTTGCAAGGACCTTGCCATTTCGGTGTTAGTTTTTCAGGCATAAGCCCTGGCGGAATAGCTACCCAGACTAATTGGCCTTCTGCATAGTTTCTCTGAGTTGTATGTCGATCATAATAATTATTTTGATTGATTTTTTGTACTTCCGAGTGTTCTTTAGCTATATAATGAGCATATTTGAGATCTTGACTTAGTCTGTCACGATAACTTAGAGTCACATGTTTTATTTTATCTGGAGGTACCGGTGGGCCTTCAGTAGGGTCATCGAGGATCAGATCAAGAGGAAGCTGAGGTTCCCTACTAAGATTCAGGAACGCCGGGGACTGTCCTGTTGAATCATTAACTGATGTTCTTATGGAAAACGCTAATTTTGCTATTTCTTTATCCCATGAATTTGGTTTGCCTTCTGCATATTGAGCGACCATTTGTTTCACTGTTTTGTTTACTCGTTCTGTCATATTTGTTTGTGGATGATAAGTGGCTGTAAATTTATTTTTAATTCCCAAATCTTTGCATATAGCTGTAAACATCTCCGCTACAAACTGGGGTCCATTATCAGATAGAATATACTTGGGACATCCGTACCGGCAAATGACTTCATTCACGATAACAATAGCCATATCTGTTGCTGTTGTTGTCCGTAGAGGGAACATTTCCACCCATCGAGTAAAATAATCAACGACGACAAGTAAATATTGTTTTTGTCTTTGAGTAGGAGGAAAAGGCCCCATCATGTCGATTTCAATAGTGTGCCATGGCTCAGTAACTAAATGAAGTTGCATGGGAGTTGATGAAGGACGATTACAATATTTAAATTGCTGGCATGATGAACAGGCTTGAGTGTATTTAAACACATCTCTTCTCAGTCCGGGCCAGTATACTCGAGTTAATAGACGGTAAAGTGTTTTATGAAGGCCAGAGTGGCCCGATGTAGGATGATCATGGGCCCATTCTAGTATTTGTTGTTGTCTATTTTGTGGAATTACAATCATGTTTTTCTTTCCTGGAACGGATTCGTGTTCGTTCGAGTTTCTTGACCGGGTCTTGTATAAGATTCCGTTAATGATCACATACTGAGACGCCGTTTTCCGAAATGATTTCGAAGGAGGTGAATTACTTTTCGTCGTGTTATTTAGTAAGTAGTCTATTATCGGTTTGAGTTTCGAATCCTTTTTCTGTTCTTCTTTTATATCCTCTAAGATATTGCAGCTCTCCCAGATATTTACTGCTGTGTCTAATGAATTAATCTCTTTTTCATTTGAATAATTAGAAGAATATGGCGAATGAACCTCGACTGGATATCTTGATAGAGCATCAGCATTTTGATTTGACGTTCCAGGTCGATGTTTAATTTCCAGGTCAAATGCGCTCAGTTTCATGGCCCACCTGGCCAGACGCCCTGTTGGATCTTTCGCAGATTTTAACCATTGAAGAGCTTTACAGTCCGATCGAACGAGTACTTTTCCGCCTTCCAGATAGGGACGAAAGTGTTTGGTTGCCCATACAATTGCTAACGCTTCTTTTTCGGTGGCACCGTATTTTCTCTCCGCTGGAGTTAACGTACGACTAGCATAAGCAACCACTGACTTTTTCCTGTCCAATTCTTGAGCCAGAACAGCTCCTAACCCATAATCCGATGCATCGAGTTCGAGGATAAATTGTTGATCGAAGTCAGGGATACACATCATCGGGGCTTTAATTAATATCTGCTTGAGGAGATTAAACGCTTCCTCACACGGTGCATTCCAGTTCAGATGGTTATTCTTGTTATTTCTCAGTTGTTCGAGAAGAGGTTCGGCAATTTTCGCATAATTTTTTATAAAACGTCGATAATATCCAGTGAGACCGAGAAACGATTGAAGAGTTCTGATTTTTTGTGGACGAGGAAATTCTCTGACTGACGAGACGATAGAAGGATCGGGTTTTATCCCTTCGGGAGTAACGAGGTGACCAAGATATTTCAATTCTCGTCGACAAAATTGACATTTCGATGTTTTTAGAGTTAATTCTGCTTCTCGAATTTTATGAAGAACGTTATTGAGATCTATCAGATGTTGATCAAACGTAGGTGAGAATATGACGATATCGTCAATGTAAACTAGACAGCACTGCCATTTGAATCCAGCAAGAACGATATCCATTAGGCGCTGAAATGTAGCTGGACCATTTGTAAGTCCATATGGCATAACATTGAATTCGAATAATCCTTTGTGAGTAATAAATGCCGTTTTTTGTTTGCTTTCTTGATCCATCTCCACTTGCCAATAGCCGGATTTTAGATCGAGTGTAGAAACAAATTTAGCTTGTTGTAGTGAGTCAAGAGTGTCGTCAATTCTTGGAATAGGATATGCGTCTCGAACAGTGGCTGCGTTTAAACGTCGGTAATCGACACAAAAACGAAGAGAACCATCTTTCTTCGCGGCCAGTACAATGGGTGAAGCATAGGGACTATTCGATCCGGATATTGTGCCACTTTCTAACATATCTTTCAGCTCTTTATCGACTATTTTTCGTCTTTCCGGTGCTATTCTGTATGGTGGTTTGTTGACCGGTTTTGTGTTCGGCTCGAGTTGAATATGGTGTTTTAACAGAGACGTTCGACCAAGTTTATCGCGAAATACCTCCGGGTAAGATTCTATTAATTTTTTTATGAGACATTTCTGTTTAGAGTCTAAACCCGTTTGGGATAAATCTATGCAAGAATTAATTTCTGTTTTCGAGAGATTTTCCTTCGCAGTTGAAGAGAGGTTTACGACGTTTACTTGGTTTTGATTCATTCGTTCCATGTAAGCGAGTTTTTGATGTTGGTGGATGATCATAGAAGATCTTGAAAAATTAGCTACTTGAATAAATAAATCGTCGCATGGGGATATTACTCCATTTGCTACCGCTGGACAATGTGTCATTGATGTGACATCATATTCAGAATGATCTGAATAATCTTTAAACGGTCTATGTGGTTTAACTGGTACCCCTACATAGGCGTACGGTGGAATTTTTATAGATTCGCGAGCTTGAAGAATATAGTTCGCTGCGTTCCGGGATTTTTTACCTAAACCCACGGAAGTTGCTGAGTGATGTTGTGTTGACGACGGTAAATTTAGTTGTCGCGGTGGCTGGAAAAGTAATTCCGAAGGGGGATCGTGACGTTCTTCGCGACGATTTCGAAATTCGATCCGTTTCTCCTTACAGAAGAGGGTTACATTATGTCTCTCGAGGAAGTCCATACCGATGATACAAAAATGTTTTAGACGCGGTATAACGTATGCTGCATGCCGATAGGTACTTTTGTTAATAGTAATTGACAGCGAAACGACGTATTTAGATCTAAGAGGTGTATTGTCAGCTGTTCGGACAGTAATGTTTGGGGTATTGGGACGCTTATGAATACTTCGTGCATCGAGCTGTTCAACTGCTTCCTCGCTAATGAGGGTACATGTTGAACCAGTATCTATCAGTAATCTAGCTGCATATCCATTAATTGTACCTGAAACTTTAAGTGGTTCTGACGCAGGAATCTGTGGAAAGAGCGTATCTTGTTGGAGGATGCCTACAAAGTTCTGGTTGGAATCGTGATGTTTATTGACGAGTTTTTTCGAATATACGTAACTGGAATCTTTCCGCCTCGCCTGGGGAAGATTCCTTAGTCGTTTTTTGGATATTGACGGTTTGAAACAACATTTTGTCTGCATGTGGAAGCATAATGACCGAGTTTTCCACAAGCCCAGCATTCGGCGTTTCTTGTATCTCGCCATTGTGGCGCCGAGAGAGACGACGAAGGAGTTGTCGCGGGTTTTGCGTCGACCGCTTGTTTTTTTCTCTGGAAAATGAGTTGCTCTGCCTGCTGAGCTTTTGTCATCAGATGATTGAGAGAAATATTTTCATGTACTCCGACCAATAACAAAACTTCCGGAGTCATCTTTTCATAGACATGTTTTACCAAATGTGATTCATTTTCCTCAGGTTTCTGTTCATACCATAACGTATGTAGCCGAACAATAAATTCATTTATCGGTTCTTCTGTTTTTTGTCGGCACTGATCCCATTGTTGTTTGGCTTGCGCTGAACGTAATGGAGATGTAAATTGTTGAATAAATTTGCGTTGAAAATCCGACCAGTTGTGTGGAACTGATGAGCTTATTCGTAATTGAGTGTACCATTCGAAGGCTGTGGCCAGGAGATAATCTGATATATTTCGAAGTAGCGTATCGGTGTTCCACCCGTACATAGCTTCGGTATACTGCTGTAATTTAACGAGAAAGTGCAGGGGTTTTTCTGAGGTTAATCCTGAAAACGTAGGTGGCGGCGTTGGTGGTTGAATAAGAACTGTATGCTGCAGATGAGATGTAGACGCAGAAGCGATGGTTGATGATATGTGTATAGGTGGTGGCATTGTCGTAGGCGCGTTCTGCTGAGATGTTAATAACTCTTCAGTATTTGTCGGACGAGATATTAGGTGGCGAAGTTCACGCATAGAGTCTTCAAATTGAGCTGATAATGCTCGTACACCCTTATCCGTACTTATACTGATTCCTTCCACTTGTTCTTGTAGGTTGGTCATTTTCTCATTTAGACGATCCATTTCGCTCGTAGTAGCAGTTGTTGTTTTAATGATTTTACTCGATAATTCCGTTATTTGAGCTTGTAAGGAATTATGTTGAGTATACAGGATTTGCAGATGTTCGGGGACAGGCTTGTTGTCGTGCTCGAGAGACATGTCCGTTAATTAATACGAAATAGATACCGACGTTGAGTATAAAAAGCAATATGATCTTGATTCACAGGAGATTCTGAGGTCTGAATCGGTGAGGTCGCCAAGTTGTGATACTTTTTGTTGTTCCTTAATTAACCTCTTCACAGCTGTATCCTTTATTTGACCTTGCCGATACTTTTATTCTTTTTCACATGAACCGATATAAAAAATCCATCCACTACTCTACTGTACTAACTATATATATCTCTCACTCTATATCTATCTATATCTCGTGATGATGAGAGAGTGAGAGAACAGAACAGACAGAACAGAAAGCGTTGTACTACGATAGAGAGAGAAGAAGAGAGAGAGAGAGTGAGAACAAGAGAACGCGGAGAATAATAGATCAGAGGAGAAGAGCGATGAGGTTCACGGTAGTGGTCCTTTACACTTACGGCCTTAAAAAGCTACTACACCTTGTAGAGCAAACAATTTTGTATAAACTGGTATACTTGTTTAATTTTTGCCTGCTCGTCTTCACTCTTTTAGAAACGTTTTTCGGATAGCCCTCGCATCGATTTTTGGGACTGTTTGTACGACAGCTGTATTTTCATAACAAATCAACGTTCAAAACCGAGACACTTTTCATTTTTTAGAGAAATGTTTAATCTACTTACTTATCTAGTTGTAGTTTTAGATTCGTTTCTAGCAATGATTTTTGAAAACAAGCGTAAAAAAGGGATCGCTAGCTGAATAAGCCGAATAGAAGACCACCTCAGCCAAAAGAATGTTGTGAAATCTTATAAGAATCTGATAGTCACAAGAATTCATAAGAAATTGGTAAGAGTCAGCAAAACTCTTACGTCACTTATCACATTCTTGTAGGATTCTTATGAAAAACATGATCGACTCACCGACAAAAAAATCCCAGTACAGTACTGGAAAAAGGCCGGCACTATCAGTGCGTACGACATGCTATGTTGCACCGGTACGAACTAGCTTCACATTTAGCTGTCACCGTTTTGTTATCTGCAATCACATTTTAATGCGTTCGTCGAGCTGATACTGCTCTTGTCATGTTATATTCTCTATCTGCAGAGGAAAAATCAATATGAACAGAGAGTCAAGTAGTAAATTCAGTGGATGTACCAAGGGGGAAAAAGCATACTTCTGTACTTCCGGTACTTCTCCGTACTTCTTGATACTTCTTCGTACTTTTTTGTACTTCTCCGTACTTCTGAAGTACGAAGTACGAAATACGGGATTTCGTATTTCGTACTTCGTACTTCAGAAGTACGGAGAAGTACAAAAAAGTACGAAGAAGTACGAAGAAGTATCAAGAAGTACGGAGAAGTACCAGAAGTACAGAAGTATGCTTTTTCCCCCTTGGGATGTACACAGCAAATTTAGCTCTCTGTTCCCGTATCTAAATACGTTTGACTTTCGCTAGTCTAATAAAGTGCCTTCTATAATCATTATCGCAAAATCGACTTTGTATACGCTGAACAGAATCGGTCCAAATTTTTTCTCTAAATCGCTGATTGAATGAATGTACGGGCAGCAAAGTATCTCTTTATTCAAATCACTTTTCGCATTTTGGCGGGAATAGTGGTGCCATTTTAAATGCGCCACTGTTCTGCTCGATAAAAAGCATTTGGATAAACTGCATCTTCAAATGTAAACTGAATAGACGGATGACACCAGTTTAAAATTGTTGATATGTCTCTAACTGCATATTTCGATTCAATTAATGCAAAATATCGTCGACATATCTAATAAAGAATTTAATTCCAGCGTCTGCGAAGTTTTCAGAGAATCTACTTTCATAGTTTTGCATAAATAACTCAGCGAGGATAGATGCGAGAGGCGCGCCCATACTGACTCCATCAATTTGATCAAAGATCTTGTTATCGAAGAGAAAGTGTGAATTTTTCGTTGCAAAAACTAATAGTTTCCTGAAATCTTTTTTCTTCATGGTGGAGCAGCCTGTGTGCTGAATTCGTACAGCATTTTAAGTATTATTTCTATTGTCTCGTCTAACGGAATATTCGTAAATAACGAACAAATGTCTAACGAGATCATTCGAGAATTAGCTGCTAGATTTCTCTGCTTCTTTAATTCATCAATGGATGCAAAAGAGTCTTTTATCATTTTCTTACGATCAAGTGATGGCAATAGATAAGACATTGTCCATTTCTATCGTCTATTCAGTTTACATTTGAAGATCTAACTAAATGGGACAGTTTTGTTCCGAAAAGGTACAAACAAAATGCAATCACAACGATGGTTTTTCGTGCCATAAAGATTTGTTCGTCCTTCGGCACTCTTCATAACGAGTTTGATTTTATTAGAACCGTAGCTAAGAAGAACGGCTATCCTCTATCGTTTGTCGACTCTATTACTGGTAAACAACTGGGTATAATTTATTCTACGAGAACTACTACTGTAAATACTACTGACACATCAGCAACTGAAAATGTAGTATTTCGAGTGCCTTATTTCGGCCTGTGCAGTCAGTCGTATGGTAAACGTATTGTCGTAGCAGTCAACAAAATTTATCCGAAGGAAGAAGTTAGAATTATCTATGATGTTAATTCTAAGATTGGATTAGGTTTCAGTCAAAAGGATGCAATACCTACTTATCTGAAGTCAGGTCTGATTTACGGATAGGGGTGGCACTTTCTCTTTCCTACCTCCTTTTTTTAGTAACAAAAGAAAACTTTTTCTTTTTCTTTTTCTTTACAACAAAAAAGAGTAAAGACATAATGCATATATTTTCTTTCCTAAGAAAAAGGAAAGCGGCACCTTTCTTTTCCAAAAGAGAGAAAAGTGATATCTTTTCTTTTTGCAAGAAAAAGACTTTCTTAAAAGGTGCAAAAAAAAGTCTTTTTCTTGAAAAAAGAAAAAATATCACTTTTCTCTCTTTTGGAAAAGAAAAGGTGCCGCTTTCCTTTTTCTTAGCAAAGAAAAGATATGCATTATATCTTTACTCTTTACTTTTCAAATAAAAGATACCACTTTATCGTTACTCACGAAAGGAACGGGAAAGTGCCACCCCTATTTACGAAGCGAAATGCTCCGTTTGCGGTGAGACGTACATAGGTAAAACCTGTCGTCATCTGAAGACCCGCATAAGTGAACATCTGAACGACCCGGAAAAAAAATTAATCAAGATAAAAACAAAAGAAGTACCTAAGAAAGTTATGAAGACCACTATAGACCTTAAAGACAAAGTGCCGAATAGGTCTCGATCAGGCCCCATGACTAGGGGTGGCACTTTCCCGTTCATTTCCTGAGTAACGATAAAGTGGTATCTTTTATTTCAAAAGTAAAGAGTAAAGATATAATCCATATCTTTTCTTTCCTAAGAAAAAGTAAAGCGGCACCTTTTGTTTTTCAATC